CCCATTAAGTGCCTCTGTAACACTCCACTATCGCTCATAGGATGGGTATGGGGTGCATAATAAATGAACTAAAATAAGCTCTGCCTTTTTGATAACATATACAATTATAAGCTTTATTTGTGAAGCTCAATTAATTAAACAATATATCAAAGAGCCTGTAGGGTTCGGTGAGATGAGCGAAGAGACATGGGAGATTTTACATAAGTACAGTACATGGTAGTTTAAGTAGCGAACGCATGTCAACGAATAACGAGTATATATACAATACAATACAATACAATTTTATTTAGGTAAGGTACATACATACAATAAATTTTTACAAGGATTGGTTGATATAACAAAAACAATATAACAAAGATATATTGGTTGATATAACAAAACAATTGTCCTATGAAGTCAATTTAACTTCCAAACATATATTTTTTTAATAAATGTTAAATGTTTTCTGGCTAGTTATGTTAGATTTTATTAAAAATACGTATTCTACTTGTTAACATTATAATTTAAACTTGTGATAATTTGTGCAGAGAAGTGCGACAACTGGATATGCCAACAAACACTTTCCAAACAACGATATATCTTGGATAAGTCGCTCCACAACATTGACGCTTGGACCGTCGACTTCCTTTGATGCTACTTATTTACTTATTTCATAATGAAATTATATTAGTTTGGAGTAAATATATGTTTTCTCATGTTCTGCATTCAGCACCCACATTATAGTAAATATACCATATTACTTCATTACTTAAATAATGCTAGGAGGGTTTGAGTTGCTTTGGGTCTTTAGTGGACAGAATCTCCAATAGATGGGGCGAGAGTCGCTCCCTCTCTCTCGCCTGAGCAAGAGTCGAAACTTAATTTAAAATTGATATATCTTTGTTCTCGAACATGATATATTTCATTTGGTGAAATCATAATAATGTTCATATCTCGATCTTTCTGGAGGCATATAAGATTTTAGGCTTTATTAGCGTATCTTTGTTAATTATACAATATATCGGCAAGTGCGTAGGCGTCTGCACTCCATGCCCGACAAGCTACTGAGCGCTACTATAAAAACATATGTATCTTCACTTGAGCTATAAATATGTCTATTGTAATGTATTTAAAATGAAGCTCTTATTTCTATCTTGCTTAAGACATAAAACATTTGTGTTTATTAACGAATTTACGTGAAATAAACATTGATCTGAGAGAGTTGCTCTGCGTTCAGTCTGTACGGGGTGGGAGCTCCGTAATTTTTAAAATACATGTATCTTCATTAGAACTTTAAATCTGTCCATGGTAAAGTGTTTAAAGTGAAGCTTATATGTCTGCCTTTCTTGAGACATATAAAACATATATGTTTATTAACGAATTCACGTGAAATAAACATTGTTCTGAGAGAGAGTTGCTCGGTCGATCAATCTGTCCGGGGTTAAAGCTTGGCTATTATAAAAGTACACGTATCTTCGCTTTAAATTTAAATATGCCCATGGTAAGGTATTTAGAATGAAGCTTATATTTCTATCTTTCTTGTGACATATAAAACTCTTACGTTTATTAAGGAATCTGTGTGAAATAGGCATGGTTCTGAGATGAATGCTGCGGTTTTCGAGCTCGACGCGCGGCAATGGACGCAATACACATCCAGTGGGTGTTATTGGACCCTATACCCATTTTATTTGTGGTTGGAGCCCCATACCCATTCTATGGGTGGTTGGAGCCCCATACCCATTCTATGGGTGGTTGGAGCCCCATACCCATCCTGTGGGTTGTAGTGGACGCCATACTCATCCTGTGGGTGGTATTGGACCCCATACCCTTCCTGTGGGTGGATGTGATCCCCATACTCATCCTGTGGGTGGATGTGACCCCTCATACCCATCCTGTGGGTGGTATTAGATCCCTTTCCCACCTAACAGGCGGTAGGTGACAATATACCCATCCTAGCTATAGTTGGTATAGTAGACACAATACCGTCCTGTTTGTAGTAGTTTACCCCATAGACATTCCAACGTAACATCGTTTTCTGTTAGCGTTCCTACAAAACATCCTTTAAAGATTTGTAAAGCACAAACTATGGTATATAATATTGATTGGTGAAGGACTGTTATTCTATGTAATAATTTTTAGTGCTTATTATAATTTACTAAGAACAACTAATATTTCTCAAAACAAAACTACGAGCCTTCAATAGGAAGTAGCTGATCTGTAATATTCTAAGAGCATGGACAATAGTAGGTAAATTTCACAACCCATGTGGGACCTGAAAACTACAATTTTCCTTATAATTGAGCCAATCACGAATATTCTGCTATCTATGTTGACGGACGGGTACTGTGACACGTAAATTGGTACGTGAGGAAGAGTTTGGGCCTTGGTAAAAAAAAGTAACTGGGAATATATCACATATATACTAATTCATATTCAACATATTGACTTTAAGCATTAAGTCATATATGTGCTGTCTTGTGTGAGAACGGGTTGCATTATTCCCATATCTGTCCACCCTCACTCACCTTGTGTCATCACAGAAAATGTCTATAGGGAGATTTTACCACATGTAGCTAGTTAATCACGCTTCAGTCTTTAAATTAATTTACAAAGATACGTGTGCCACAAATCAGTGAACGAAAATCATGGAAACTCAGTCGTTCATTTGGGTGGATCACTCTGGCTGGTGTTTGGTTCATATGGTTCACTTTTAGTGTAAACCATTCTGGCTGGTGTTTGGTTCATATGGTTCACTTGTTGTGTGGTCCACTTAATTGTGTGATCCAACTTGTCTAATGAAGGAATTATTAAATGTAATCTGTGATAGAATGAGAAAGTTTTCCACAACTCTGTGAACTAAGTCCCAACATCGTAAGCTTGTGGACCACTTGTGCAGTCCACTTGTGCGGTCCACTTGTGCGCTTCACTTGTGTGATCGAACTTGTCATATGAGGGAATTATTAATTGTAATCTGTGATAGAATGGGAAAGTTTTCCACCAGTCTGTAAACTCTGTTTCGACATCGTAAGCAAATCCAAACATCCCCCGCTTTGGCGAACCATTGTTCATTGAACCGGGTGAGTACTGCAAGAGATACCTGGTTGATAGGGTTCTGGGAGTTCTTCTACTCCCCAAGCCTGGCCCAAGGCCAGGCTTGACTTGTGAGAGTTTGGTCCATTAGGCTGCTGTTTGGAGCGGCCCGCAGGCCCACATACCCACCACAGCCCGGTTGGTCCGGCATTCCTTGGAGGAATAAATCTAGTTTCCTCTTGAAGATATCCATGGTTGTTCCAGCAATATTCCTTATGCTTGCTGGGAGGGTGTTGAACAACCGTGGACCTCTGATGTTTATACTGTACAGTGTTCTCTGATTGTGCCTATGGCACCCCTGCTCTTCACTGGTTCTATTCTGCATTTTCTTCCATATCGTTCACTCCAGTACGATGTTATTTTACTGTGTAGATTTGGTACTTGGCCCTCCAGTATCTTCCACGTGAATATTATTTGAGAGAGAGAGACCCTTGTGTAGGGAGAAATAGCAGTGTTAAATGTTGAAAAACAGTCTGGTACTTTTACCCCCGCCCCTGCAGATATACAGAGCATCAACTTAACAGGAAAATGTCATCCCCTAAAACCAATGTAAACAAAAGTAATAAAATGGCTGAAGAACAGATTCAATGGAAGAAAATTTAGAGAAACAACAGTGTTAAATGTAGAAAAACAGCCTGGAACATTATAAGACATATAAATGAACTATTGGGAAATGTGGATGACATGTATAGGGATGAGAAATGTAGAAAAACAGCCTGGAACATTATAAGACATATAAATGAACTATTGGGAAATGTGGATGACATGTATAGGGATGAGAAATGTAGAAAAACAGCCTGGAACATTATAAGACATATAAATGAACTATTGGGAAATGTGGATGACATGTATAGGGATGAGACATTATTGGAACCAGGCAGGCAAAAACATTTGCAAGCCCTCTTGTTCACTTGGGGGAGAGAAGCAGTGAGAGCAGGACCAGTGACTTGTGTGTCTTGGATGGTCTCCAACAATATGATATGTGCAGTATTAGATGGTTTTATAATGGTGCTTCCCCTTTTGTATGATTTAGAGATAGGAATTTGTAGAAATAATGATTTTAGAACCCTGTGTGTAGGTTGAGTGGTATGTTATTAATTCATGTGCATGTGCTCAGCTCTGTGTCACATGGTGTTACCCACATTTACTTTGTCCATCCCTTTGTGTATTGTGGTCAGAACAGTACATTGTTAAAAACCTATGCCCCTTGTAGTTACCCAAGAAGAGTGGAATATAGTAATGACGTTAAGCCCCAATTTGTAGAGGCCTAAACTGTTGTGTGTGGACCCTTGTGCCAGTTGCCTACTGAGGTGTGTGTTGGTGGGAAGGAACCTCCTCCCCCCACTTACTTTGTATCAATCCTGATGTAGGTTTACGTACACCTCCCCCTGTTCTAATCAGTGTGAGATAATCTGGTATTGTTAAATAAAAATCCCTTTTGTAAAATTGTACCCCAAGGTGTATTTCTTGTCTCATGTAGTTAAAACTGTTTATTATTGATATATAGACACCTGCACTCCCATTATTTATAAGAAAATACGAGCAGGTGTTGTTAGCAATACTAGCCGGAGATTCGTTGAATTGGGGGTACGTTGAATCGAGGTTGTACTGTACTGTACTATACCCTATACTGAACTATACTTTTTGTTTATTTCCCACCTTATATTTTGCTGGGGTTTATTTTTATTTTACCTTGCTGTTGTCTGTTTTGATTCATTCTACCTTTCTGGTGATTATTTCTTTTGGTTAGTGATCTTAAATCCTCTGCTCCTTGCACTTTAATGAGAGGAAAAGGTTTTGGCCTCTGGTCTCCAGAAAGATTTTTAAGATTTCCAATGGCCTAGTGCAAATCAACTTAGGTGGAGCTATCTAGATACAGTACTGGAGCCCTCCCAGAAGAATACTAATAAAATTACCTTACATATTCTCACCTTTCTTGGGATCATAGTTCTTGAGGTCATCATCATAGGATGTTCGTGCGTAATGTCCAGTTGCAATAACTTCACTGTTAAAATTGTCTTTTGCATACTGGAGAAAGGGAGAGAACTTAATCTTCTTATTGCACATGATGTCAGGATTAGGTGTAAAACCGGCTTTATATTCTTCTATCATGTACCTGTCATGGGGAAAATATAGATTATAAAAACTAAACCTTATATACCTTAAGATATAACTTAAAAGATACACTAATTTAATATTTCTGAGAGGAGCCCTGTTTGCTTCCCAGAGTTATCCAGGCTGATATGTAACTATTAGCTTACTGGCATCAAAGTGCATGAAGTTCTTGCCTACTGGGCACCACGAGCCAGAACCTGGCTCCCTCAGAGAGGCACGAGGAGCAATGGCCTATAGAAACCACTGTGAGTTGGGAGCATTCTCTGTCTGCCATCAACTGGATCTGGCACCCAGAAAGATAGGCGCCCAAAAAACCAGTGTTATATGTAATGAAACGCCATTTTCTGGGAGACCCGGAGGCTTCCCGGAACTTTCCAGGATGATATGCTAATGTCAAACTTCGGCATCAGTCATGTGTATGGAGTTCTGTGGGCCTACCGGGAACCACGAGCCAGAACCTGGCCGGGGGTCAGACACCCAGAGAGGTAAGCGTTCCAAAACAAACCCTTATTCTGGTGAAAATTGCGACAAAAAGCCGAACAAGTGAATAGAACTCCCCAAACAGAAACGGGCAAATGAGTATGATGTCACACGTCACAGCGCCACTGTCTGCCCAGCTCCCCCTCCCCAGTAGAGGGAAGGGGGAGCCTCAGACCCCAGTGCCGGGAATCCACCTCTCAGTTCTGAGGCTGGACATCAAAACACGCGAAAAACCGCCGACCGGGTGGAGGAAGGGTTGCCGGGGGAGCCTCCGGGTCTCGCCCAGAAAATGGCATTTCATTACTTTCAACACTGGTTTTCTGGGGGAAGCCCCGTTGGCTCGCCAGAGCTACTTACCCAAAGTCGAAAACAAGAGGGACCAAACCCGGGAGGCGGAAGACGCACACCTCCAAAGCGAAGCGGAGACAAAAACGACAACTGCTAACCCAAGGCCACACAGGCCTGACAAGTCCCAGGAACATCAACGAAGGAAAGCTGAGCCAACTAACAAACGACATGGGCACGGGGACAGACAGCAGGCTGGCAGGATCGAACCACCCCGCGGACAACCCAAGAAAACTACACCCTGAAACAGGGAAGAGGGGGAACTTGGAACAACCCAAAGCGTGACCCTGGTCACGGCAGCCGTGGCACGCCAAGCACGGCTCAGTGCGCAACTGAACACAACACACAATGCATCCCCGGCCAAACCAACCAAGCATCAAACAGCCCAAGAATCCCTCCAGAAAGCAGCCGTGCCAGTCTTCGCAAGAAAGAAGGAGACGGCCGCAAGCGAACAAACCTATCAGGAGAACTAAAAAGAGCCGAAACCCAGGCGGTGGAGGAGGGCAAGAATCACTCCAAACCGACCCCCAGAGGCCAACGCCAACAAGAAAAGAGCCTCGGAAAACAAATCAGAACTGAAGGGGCCACCACAAACCGAGAAGAGAAAAGACCACGCAATCCAAGAACCAGGACGGCTCAAGCAGCGCAAGAGCAGGCCGGAGGTGAACCATGCCATTCATGAAGCACGCAGGTGGGACACCGTCAACGAAGCCACCTGACCACCAATAGATGGTGAGATACTCGAGACAGAACCGAACCAGCCCCGCCATGAACCGATCAAGCGTAGGAAGAGGCAGAGCCGCGGGAAAACCTTGGGTGTGACCACCGAGCAAGCAGAGCCGGAACCCAAGTTGGCATGGAATGAGAAGGACCGTACAGACAACTTCCCAATGATAGCGAGCTCGCCAGGAGATCGGAGACACTGTGGTTCTGATACGAGACTCGTGAGAAGTGACACCGCGAGATCCGGAAAATGCCAAATGGCAAGGTAAGCCAGGAAGCCAGGTGTTACGTATCTCTAGTCGGATATGTATATAAATTCATGATAATGAGTTGGCAATATCAGGAGACAGGAGCGGGGTTACTCTGTACACGTCTAATACCTGTTAGATTCTGGAAAGTAGAATTCCTGGACCTGTTCAATTATGGGAGTTCCAGATGTCACTCTTTAATATTCATATCTTTGTTAATTTACTATAATTATTCATGTGGCATTGTAATTTATATTTATATATATACCTGTTATATTTTAATTACACTATTATGTGTTTTGAGAACAAGTGGTTGTTCATATAATTGTAATTATTAAGAAGTCCTTATTTAACATTCGTCATATTTTGTGAGTGAATGCGGGGCGTCCTGACACCACGCTAGTCAGACAGCTGCGAGACCTCGTCTGGGTTACATAAGTTGAGTATTTATGTCTCTTGTATAAAGGTAGATTAATTGTGTCTGAAAGACAGTTTTCTTTTAATTACGTAACCATTTATTAATCCTTAACCCTTAAAGTGCGCATCACGTCATATGACGTGTTGGACGTTGTTCCAGTCAACTGCGCATCACGTCATATGATGTGTTGGAGTACTACGCAAAATTTAAACGGCCCGCGGATACACGGGGTTCACCACACCTTCATCAGGGCTCTTGTAAACAGACGCCATTTTTTTTTTAAATTGTGGGCCAAACTCTCGGGTGTTATTGGCCTCAGTATTGAGTGAGCAACCAAGCCTGATGCACGCAGCATGAGCTAACAGCACTGCTGTTCAGCTTGTGACCACAGCATCGCCTAAAAATGCCAAAATATACTTGTTCATGCTATTATGTAGCGATGATATTATTACAGAAGACCCCTGACTGTGATAAAACTGACCAGGGTTCTGATAATAGCAGGATTGTGGTGATATTTAGTGCTGTGCGCCATGAAGGGAGGAGTAATGCTGTGGGAGGGAGGGTGGTGGCGATGTCTTCTGTGTGTGGCCACCTTTTATTGACTGCACTCACCATACCAACTTAGTGGTTCGCTATGTTGAACACAAATGTTGAAACTTATATATAACGTGTGTATAGAGGGTATAAACAGCAAGAGAAGGTTTGGAGCCGTCATTTTAGTGAGGGCGGTGGCGTCGTCTGCATGCTGCACGACGGGACCGTGCAGACGACGGTGTTGTTTACTGGTTACCACGATGGTCTTTGGGCACCATACCAGTTTATTTGTACAAGTATGGTGAATAAAACGGGTAGATATTTATATATAATGTGTGTATATAGCGTAATAACACCACACAGTATTGTTGGAGGAGAAATATTAGTGCGTCTGACCTTGAGGGCGGCAGCCATCAGCTGACTGTGTGAGGTCCTACTCTTTGTGCCTTTACTCACCATACAAGCTTAGATGTACAGTTATGGTGAACAAAACATGTAGATACTTATATATATAACGTCTGTATATAGTGAATTTTAGAAAAAACAGTATTGTGGGAGGAGAATGTGGGTGAGTCAGATGACTGGTGGGAGGGCGGGAGTGGCTGGCTGGTACATAGCGGTCACTTCTCATTACTTTTTGACTCATAATAGCTACTTAGTGGTTCGTTATAGTGAACAAAACATGCAGATATTTATATATAACCTGTGCTTATAGTGTAATAACCGACAAAGTATTTGTTCACTGATTGATGAACATAATTGAATCAACAATATGCACCCCATATTTTTGAGTACAGCAATGATTCACTCATTTTATTATATAAATATATCAAACTACACACTATTGAATAATATTACAGCAAAAAAACTATGAAAGATCAATCAGAGACATTGAAATAATTAGGTAATTATCTCTTTGTGGCAACTCCGGCCTGACAGCTGGCGAGCAACAGACCGCCTGGGACGCATGCTGAGTCAGCGCCTATAATTTGCCAGACTTCCCCACCCTATAGCGGGCAATATATGCCACTTACGATTTTTTTATTATTTTTCCTGTGATCAGTGAACACAAATTAACAGGTTAGGAAGGAAAAATAATTTTATTTTTTTCAAAATGACATGCGCCTGTGGGGATGACAGGATATTAAACCCCGAGCATGTTAAGGGTTAAATGGCACATGGCTATATACCATTTGACATCCACAGGCGCATAAAAAAAAAGAAATATTTTTTTGTTCCTAACCTGTTAATTTGTGTTCACTGATCATGGGAAAAATAATAAAAAAATCATAAGTGGCATATATTGCCCGCTATAGGGCGGGGAAGTCTGGCAAAAAACAGGCGCTGACTCAGTGTGCGTCCCATTGCTCACCAGCTGTTAGGCCGGAGTTGCCACAAAGAGATAATTGCCTAATTATTTATATATTCTTGTAAAGCCACTAGTACGCGTAGCGTTTTGGGCAGGTCCTTAACCCTAATTTCCCTGGAATACGACCCCGCCGAATCGTTTAACAACCAGGTACCCATTCACTGCTGGGTGAACAGAGGCTACAGTTAAGGACTGGCGCCCGGTCAATCCTCCCCGGCCAGGATTCGAACCCAAGGCGAGGCGCTTGCGAAACGCCAGGCGAGTATCTTACCACTGCGCCACGGGGACTGCTGTCTCTGACTGATTTTTCGTATTTTTTTTTTTGCTGTAATATTATTCAATAGTGTGTAGTGTGATATATTTATATAATAAAATGAGTGAATCATCACTGTACTCAAAAATATGGTGTGCATATTGCTGATTCAATTATGTTCATCAAACAGTGAACAAATACTTTGTCAGTTATTACACTATATACTCAAGTTATATATAAGTATCTGCATGTTTTGTTCACCATAACGAACCACTAAGTTGCTATTATGAGTCAAAAAGTAACGAGGCGTGACCACCGTGTACCATGCAGCCAGCCACTCACTCCCTCCCTCCCTCGACACCTCACTTGCCCACATTCTCCTCCCACCATACTGTTTTTGCTTTTATTCACTATATACAGACGTTATATATAAGTATCTACATTCGTGTTCACCATAACGAATCACTAAGTTGGCATGCTGAGTGGCAGTGCCAGTGACAGCCAGTGGCAGCCCGCCACTCCCTCCCTCCCTCACCTCACCTGACTTGCCACCATTCTCCTCCCACCATACTGTTTTTGCTTTTATATACAGATGTTATATATAAGTATTTACATGTTTTGTTCACCATAA